CGACCCGATACTTTCACTTTGTAGTATAAAAGCTTTGAATGAACGTATTCCTGAGCTTCTTCTTTTTTTTACTATTATTCACACATATATATATAGGCAAGTACAAACGTGCAATGTTAAAATAATTCATTTTTGCCTGATTTCATGTTTGCCGCTTGAAACTTCGAGGGCAGGCACCTTTAAATCTTGTCAAATTTATCAATAGTTTCGTATAATAAAGAATATATATTTTTCCACATTTTAAATATGATCAATATGATCTATCTTATCTTTCATTTCATGAAACCAGTTAGGCCTACTGTTGTTCGTGAAATACATAAGATTTGGCCATGATGCATAATTTGACTCAAAAGAATGGTTAAAACTTTAATAATTTAAATCAATGCAGCAAAACTTGAGATAAAAGATGGAAGAATACTGTGAATAAATAACACACAAAAATGACAGAATGACACCATTTGTGATACCATTAGGACAGGAAGTACAAAAAATTTTATACAATAAAAATCCTAGTAGACGTTCTAAATATCTCAAACTTCTGAAACGCCATCATTGAGGTGAAGGTGAAAACAAGACGTGAATTTAGCACGTGGTTAGCCAGTGTTGCAATAACAGGCATGCGAGTGAGTAACAGAGAAATTAGCTGAAGTTTTTTAATTAGCGGACAATTCTCATGCCTGCAATAAGCAGCCTCACTAAATCCTGCACTGGTAACTTTTGAGTGGGAGTTTGAATAATATTCTTCACAACTTACTGTTTGATTCCGATTTCCGTATTGTTTGTATCGCGATATGGACACTGCATATATATAGATTATCGTATCCTTGGCCGCTGTATCGCGATTTACGGATGTATCAGTGAATCATTACACCCCTATTAGACACATTGGGTCGTAGGCTATATATATATACTGTACTCCTAGTATTTGTGTTGATAAGATAAACACAGGGTAAATTGGAAGCTTAAACGGCATTAAAAATTCATCATAAATCTTATAAAGCTTCGGTACTGATTAGGCCAAAACAAAATATATGTGTGGTTACCGTTACATGCCGAAAAAAAATGGGGTAGGTAGGTAGAGAAAACATTTTATTTTCTTGAAA